AGTTATTTCCTTTCTTAAAACGTGTATACATTTTTTTGGCACCCTCTGTATATGCGATTCTGCTGCCAAACCTGTATAAATCCCTAACAGCCTCAAATGTTGTCCTAGGCCATGAAAAGGGATTTAAAAGGAGAAGTGGGTGGTAGTCTTACCCTACCATTAGTAACAGAGAAGAAAAGAAAGCAGCATTGATTTTTTAGCTCAATAGCATAAGCATGCCAGAACTCTGGGTTGAAGGAACAAAACACACTATAATTAGCAAATATGTGCAAGAAGCGAAATACATTTGCTGTGGGGAAAAAAAATTGTTAATATGCAAGGTAATTAAAATTTCTTTTTCAGCACTATCAAAGGTAGTGGTGGGGTGGGGGGGGGTGGGTCCTTTTTGTCCCTTGGCTTAGAGACAGAATGACAGCTGTAATCTGAAAACATAAAATGCTGCTTATGTGGCAAATGTCATAGACAAATAAGTAAGAAAATTGCTTTACTCTCTAAGGAAAGGAGCTTAGACCAGTTAGAAAGCAGCCATGAAATACATGAGCTTGCCCAGAGTTCATAACTCTTCAGGGACAACATCCAAATGGCAGTTAAGTGCTTTTGAGTCTTTCTCCCTGAAGAAAGCCAAAATGTTCATGTCATGCCTCAATCTCAGGTGTTGGTTTCCTCAAGAAAACCAGGATGGGGCCGGCCGAGTGGCTCAGTTGGTTAAGAGCTCACTCAAGGGCCGGCCAAGTGGCACATTGGTTAAGAGTTGGCTTGGGACGCCAGCTCTGAGCCGCAGGGCCCCGGTTCGGATCTCACATGTGGGCCAGTGACGCTGCCCTCTACAGCTAAGATGGTGAACAACAGCTCAACCTGGAGCTGGGTTGCCTTGAGTTGTTGGAAGTGTCATAGTCTGCAGTGGGGCTGGCTAGCAGCTGGCGTGCGCCTTCGTGAGCTGTCGACTGGCTCACCCAGGAAGAGCGCAATGATAATACCAACATGGGCCAGTGAAGCAATGTCCTCCACAACTAGACTGAAGAACAAAAGCANCCCCCAATTCCCCAGCACTGTTCCGATCCCCCCAACTCCCCAATAAAAATCTTTAAAAAAAAAAAAAAAGCTATGTACTATGATTCCATCCATATGACATTCTAGAAAAGGCGAAAAACGACAGGAAAAGGGAATCAGTGATTTCCAGGGCTTGGGGTAGGGCAATGAATGGGCTACACAGGGGTACAACAGAATTTTCTGGGGTGATGCAACTGTTTGCTATTTTTATGGTAGTGTTTGTCAAAATCACAGAACCAGGGCCGGCCGAGTGGCTCAGTTGGTTAAGAGCTCGCTCAAGAGTTTGAGCAACAGCGGTTCGATGCCCGGCCCAAGCTGAGCTGCCAACAGGTGGCAGGATGGCTCAGCCAAAAAAAAAAAAAAAAATTTTTTTCACAGAACCATATACCAAAGAGGGTAACTTTTATAGCATGTAAAAAAAAATTTTTTTTTTTTTGGAAAAAATAGCAAGAAGAAAATTACCTTTGCTGGAGTGATACTGACAAGTCCCCTCAATGTGTAATATGTACACATTGAGGCTAGATGTACTAAAAACTGACATCCAAATTCTGCCTTTTATCTTTCCCCATGGCCACATAAAAATCGCTGCCTTGGTACCTCCTGCCAAACTTCTCCGAATCCTCCTAGTGTCAAAGGCAGGAATTCAGATCCTCTCTCTGGGATCAGGGTGACTCCAGAAGTCACATGTCTTCCGTCCTCACAAAATGCCAAGTGATATCACTGCCTGACTCAAGGCAATGGCCAGGGCGTCCTGGCCCCACTCGGAAGTTCTTCGAGTCCTGAGACTCAAGATTGCCGTCTTCCACTCACCGTCCTATTATTATCCATGGGAGTAACTTGATGCATCAAACAGACATGGATTCAGAAACCAGACTGAGACTTGATTCCTGGGCTGATCTGGCCACGGAGTGAGACTGTAAGTGTCTTTAAAAAGCGTCAGCATTTGACTACACAGCTGAGCTGCCTGGTACTTTACACCTCCCATAAAACTGTAACATGCAGGCTAAGCAAACCCAATAATAGGAGTAGTGGTGGTGGTTGTTTTCTCTGTTTGATTTGCACCTGCTCTCCTCACTAATAGGGATGCAGACGCAAAATTTGCCGAAGTGTTTACTTTTTTGCTGGCTCCAGTCTTCAATTTCTTGGTGAAAAACACAAATAAATGCAGAGTGAGCTGCAAGTAACACTTTCTGGTTGTTCTCTGATTTATGCAAAAAAAAGACATTTACCTGTTTGAATTCCTAGCTGGCTGGTTCTGGAAGAGGCTGAGAGAAAATCCTGATCCCAGATGGGAGAGTTTTGACTATAAACTTCTTCTTCTAACATGGACAAAAACCTAAACACAAGAATAAAAGCAACAGTAAGATCAAAAACTAATGTACTATCAGCTGGACAAAAGCACTAACCATATCTGGCAATAACCTGAATCAGCATCTTACCTTCGACTCAGAAATATGTTAGTAAATTATGACTCAAAGGATGATTGAGTTGGGCAGCCCTGGTATATTCAAATACAGAAATGCATTTCTACAAAAGAATTTTCTTTTGACTCTGCATAGATTGACAAAACACAGAGCATTATATCAATGGAAATTCATTCCACTAAGTCTTCCTCCACTGAGTCTCAGAGAAAGATTTCAGCCCTCCAGGTAGCTGTCATTATCACTATCACTATTATAATAAGAGTTGCTAACATGTATCGAGTGCTTGCTATGTGCCAGCACTGTTTTAAGAACTTATTGAATCCTCATATCAACCCAATGAGTTACATATTTTTTTATTACATACACATATAGCTCTTACTCTGTGACAGACATTGTTCTAAGTGGTTGATGGATTTTAACTCACTTGATCTTCATAACTTCACAGATGAAAAAAAATAAGGCATGGAAAGGTTAACTAACTGGTACAAAGTCCCACAACTAGTAAACTCAGGGTCAAGTTTGAACCAGTGATTAATTACTAAGTTATACTTTCCTGTCATGTTATAAACCAAATGGATCTCAAGTTTTGGGAGCCCACAAAAATTACCTGGAGACCTTGTTTGCAATACAGCTACCCAAACCCCACCTAGGCTTACTGAATGAATCAGTCTATGAGAATGGGCCTGGGTAACTAAATTTTTGTTAAGTACCTTAGGCCGTTCTTATATACACCAAAATTGAAGACCTATGATTAAAATACCAACACAAATCTACACTTCTGGTACCGGAATATCTTCCTGCAAGCCTCTTTTAAGGCACATTAACTCCAGTGGAGAAGCACAGAATAATGGTAAAGATCTTGGGCTCTAGAATCCATTTGCGAAGTTCACCACTTATCATTTGTACGTTCTTGAAACCAGTTCTTAACTTTCCTCTCCCTCAGTTTCCTCTTTTATAAAATGGAAATATCAACAGTAATTCTTGCATAGGATGGCAGTGAGGGATAGGCTATTGTGCATGCCTGACCCCTGACAGGTGCTCCATTCATTCATTCAACAAATACTGAGTGAACTTTTACCACGTGCACTGTGTTAGGTGCTGGCAGGACAGGGTGAATAAAACAACCACCCGACCCTCATGAAGTTTACACTGTAATGATGTAATAAAGGTAAGCTATTATAAGCCCACTATCCCTTCTCTGAAACTGTAAAATCCAAAAGCCCTTAAAAAAAAGTTTCCATAACCCATTTGGAAACAAAAATCTGACCTTAACATACATAAGACTATTTATAGTCTTTATAATTATAAATGGATTCGATTTGGGGAATTGCCCCCACCCCTGCAGCTGTGGGATATGGTACATGGTACGTGTGTTATATTACCTTTATAAATTTTTTAAATTTTGAATTATGAAACTTATCTAGTACAAAGGTTTTGGATACCTGTTCAAAGACCTATATCATCATCATCATTGGGAAAAGGTTCTGAGGGTCTCCTGACTGGTTGTTCATAGAAGATTTAAGAACAAGGTATCATTTGAGTGAACACCTACCAGCACTCGACAGTGTAATTCATTTCATGGCTTATAGAAAACTCATAAGTCACTTCTTGCTCAGCAAGCCATCACTGAAGTATATTTTAAAACACTTCAGTGTGTTTCTTAACAAACCCAGAAAGATGGACCAGTCATAAGACGTAAAATCCTTACTGAGATCATATTCTGATCTTGCTGATGAGAAAGAAGTTTCTTGTTTCCTCAGCAGACCCTGCCCTTCCCTCACACAGCCCTCAAGATTTCCCCACCTGCCCTTTAAACGGAAGTAAATTTCCTTTCCTCTTCTTTTTCATCAGTAATTATATAATCAGCACACTCTTCACAAAGCCCTGCTAGGGACTCACCAAAGAAGAATATTATTTCATTAATAATTTAGTGGAATAACTATGTGTTCTATATGTGCATACATATACAGTTATTTCATTATAATAAACAATAGTCTCACATAATGACATGAGAAAAATACTGGTTTTATATGCACCAGGATACAAAATTACATGTAGAATAAAAAACACAACACATGGAGAAAAAACAGAACTATCTAAAAGCAACAAAAGTAGTTCAGAGTGGTAGGGCTATGGCTGGTGGTTTGCTTTTTAACCAAATTGTCATTGACATGTACATTTTAGAATGAAATGTGGATATTAAACCTTTTCCACAACAATCTTGTAAGTAGGTGGCTGGGGGGAAAGGCACAAGTTAAAGCCAAGTAGAAGAAAGGGCAACATATGAAGATAGGCAGATAAGGACCTAAGCCCCGAAAATACCTCTGAGAATCACAGCGACCTCACTGGGTGATGTAACTCTCATTCTGCAACAGTGCCCAAGCGTCAACCAGCACCTCAGGCTTCAATACCAATGGTGCCAAAAACACGTATACACACTTTAAGCGACGTTATCTATATATTACTTTTGGAAGTTGAATTGAATTACAGTAGCAATGTGTAGTATGACATTCCCTCAAAAAATGGCATGCGACACTCAAAGAAAATGGCAGAAGCACGGTTGTCATTCAGGGAGCGCAAGACCATTTTGAAGTGGTATTTGAAATTCAAAAACACGGAAGTACAACAATGGAGGCGTGAGTATGCAACAGAACCTCCAACATGCCTAACTACTGCACGGATTCATGATAAGTTTGAGACACACGGTACTTCGGGAAGAAATTAAAATAGCATGCACAGCGATACTTTGGTCAACGTTGCTCAAACAGCGGTTCGCTGTAATCAGAAGTGTCTGGACACTGATGGTAACCACTTTGAGTACCTCTTATAATTGCAGAAGTCAAACGTGACTTGTATTCATCTTTTGTTATCAGTATATATTGAGTATTACAATTTTAAT